GTGTTTTTTTAGACATGTGGTTTTCAAGAAGAAATAAAACGCATATAATGTAGCGTTATAACCAGGAAATTAGTTTCGTTATGAAAATAAGAGCCTGCCATTATATTTTAGAAATAAATTTGCTCGAATCTTCGAATTTATCTGCGTAGACAAGCGACCTCACATAACCATACAGAAACTAGTCAAGCATTAAGGCCCGAAAAAGTCATTAATCCTGGTTCTATAGCGTTCCCCTTGACTGTCGTCATTTTTGACGCAATGAGAACCATAATTCTGCCCTCAGAGCATATACCATACCCAACAGTGACTTTATGAGAACGTAACGGCGTCTCAACAATAGCTTGTGGATTACCATCAATCCAAATGCCTCAATTTTTTTTTATTATCGTATCCATTTAAAACTGGACTATAGAAAGTTTTCTTGTTAAAATCTATATAGAGATGGTCGTTTTGTCCTAAGCGTGCCTAAGTTATTCTGTTCATTATGAAATGGCAAGCCAAACTGAGTCAAAATCAACTAGCAGCTGTAAAAAAAACTCCGAAAAAATTGTTTCGGGAGCGGCCTAAAATCGCTTGATCAATAATTGTTATTAATTAAATTATTAATTATATAATTTTTACATATATTTCAAGTTATAGACGAGTGACTAGACGAGTGAGAATTATATCTTTCCATACTTTGTATTATTTTTTGTCTATATATAATATGTTATAATGTTATGTGTAGCTTCCGGGTGTAACAGTATGTCATATGCTGACCGTCATTTGGATTTCCTTTCCGGCAAATTTGCGCGCGGAGAGGAACGAGCAAGATGAGCTCTTCCATGAGGGTATTTCCTTAATGTAACAATGTTATCAAGGCAAATGGAGTCCAGGAACGCTAACAAATTATTGTTGGAGACTTCGAAGAGATAAACCCAAAGTAGAGTGCTTACGAATATCCTAAGTATTGTTGTTATTATGATTATTAGTTAGGAACACAAACCTTTTGTGCATCGGAGTTCATTATTTCTTTTTTTTTTAAATTTTTCTTCTTTTTTCTTTGTAAGTAGAACCGTTGTTGGTTCACATTTTATTTATTCCAATATATAATGCTCAACTAGAACAAAACTAAAACTAACAGATGAGTTTAATCATCGCAACGTTGAGGAGCGTTCCTAAAATAAATTTATCCTGAACGGAAAATCGACAGATCGAAGTAATTACTCCAAGCTGAAAGATGTAATAAGCATAGTCTCTGAAAAAAATACGAGAGCCAACCATTCACAGGAGTGCTTAATAATGTTTCATGTCCTTTCCCCAAGTATTGAATGTGTTGGAGGGCGTCATGGCAGTAAAAAGCCATCAACAATGACTGTTAATGATGATGACTTCGTTGCTGCAGCGCCAAAACGTCTACACGCTGCCAGAGCCAGTTTTTCTCTTTGCCGAAATTGGCATTTACATTTTTGCATTTTCCACGAGAATGAAAACTCCCAAGAATTTGCAAACAATGCAATATGTACTTTTATATGCATATATAGAGTCATATAAATATATGTATAATATATACATATAGATATAAATGTACATACATTCTCACATATATCAATACTAATAGTACCTTTTACGAAATTTTTTATGATTGGCTGCACAAACAAAGCGAATGTACGTACCAAAGACATAGTCAAACATACATATAATATTATATATTTACATATATTCACAAACTTACATACTTGCATACAAACACATACAAATACTATATTCCATTGTAGAGTTTAAGTTTATTGAAACTCAGCTCAGTAAAGTGTAATTTATCGAGCAATAAAACTTTAAATTCGTATGTATGTATGTATGCGTGAATCCCATGCAAAAGTGTAGAAACCTAACTGTCAGGTGTCTTTGACTGCTCTCACAATCATTGTGGCAATAATTTCGTTGTACGATTATATGAGCGCAATTAATTTACAATTTTAATCCCATTCTAAGCTCAAGTGTTGCCAAAGTTATTTAGGAGGATTCTTGCATTGGCTGGAAATTCTGCGGCTGTTACCGAAGGAATGCAAAACTTCAATAATAGAGACAGACGAAGGGACCGAGCGACTTACAATCTACTTGCCCCTAACATGTTACCGTTTGCCTTTTGTTCGTGCACATACGAGATTTGCAATAAGTGTTTATGTACACGTATGTATATATACATATGTATAGGCTTAAGGTGCTCTTATTATACGAGTATATGGATTTGATAGCTTTGGCTGGCACTATAAGGCAGAGCGCGCAATGAAATGCCGGTCTGTTGGAACTTAATCGAGCTTGGGTTAAGCGTTTGCCTCGTAAATTTTAATTAAAAGCTTAAGATCTTTGCATAGTTTTTGCGGTTAAAAATTAAAGCAACGTTAATAAAGGTTGTTTTTTTAGACATGTGGTTTTCAATTGGCAAAACTTTTTTCGGAGTTAGTCTTTTTTATTGTTGTTACTTGATTTATACTCAGATTGGTTTGTGATCTACTTCCGTACGGCCAAACTCCTTATTTGTACCTTTACCATCAACAATTGGACCGTCTGAAGAAAGTAATATCGCAAAACGGCCAGAGTTGTCCAACAGGAGGGAAATTGTGTTGCATCAGGACAACGCCAGACAACGCACATCGATAGAGATTCGCCAGAAGTTCCTCGCGCTAAAAGATGACCATCTCTTCCTGTCTGTGGGCATGAGGTGGCTGATGAATTGGCCTTTGTCATGACATTGCCTTCAAAGTGGAAAAATATATCTCGTTCGAACAGTGCATTTTTGATATAATTCTGATAATTCTAACTATGAGATATAAAGTCTCTTTCCCTATACTTAATGTCACTCATATTTGAAATTCTGCTAGCCATAATATTCGTTGGACTCCTACAGATTTAAGTGCGGTAAGGTTTCACTCACAAATTTCCTTTCGCTTTTTACGCTGAAATCTCTTTCTTGTTTTTTCACCTTTAATTCTCATAAGTGCGTACATTCATACGGGTATGTATGTATTTATGTATAACTAATGACTTTTTCACTTTATCTCCTCCTCCGCACTCCCACCACGCTGATCGTTTTGTGACATTGTACTGGTATTATTTGACAATTTGTACGGAATGCTCCTAACTGAATTGGCTGCTGCATGAATCGCTGAAATTTGCGCAATTATTATGCCACTTTGTTGCTTTTTTGTTTTTTGTTCGCCGTCCTCGCATAATTTATTAACATTATCTTGTCGTGTGTAATAATTACGAATGGCTGGAAATTATGGCGGACCCATTATAATCTCATATTTTATGTAGAAACATGTGTAAGCAGTTTTCTCTTATTTTCGCGTTTTCATACAAACCCACACGTTCTTCTCAGTATAGTTTCAGTGTTTGCACTGGTAGTGGTGTGTATGTGTTGGTATCTATGAGTGAATGCTGCTGACTGTGATTCGTTTTTTACGAGAAAGCAATTAAGCGTGTTGCTTAAACAAAACTCACACATTTACAAGCATGATGATGATGAGCAGCCGTTGTTGGTGTGCATTTCAGTTAATTAATAGCAAATTATCTTTAGCTTCAAGCATCTTTTCGCAGCTTTATTGGCACTCAGAGGATGCGTTAATTGCATTAAGCTAAGAAATTTCGACTTGAAGAAAATCTGAAATACATAAGGAAGTGTTTGGTTCGGGTAAAAGGGAGAAAGCTTCACTGAAGCCATTCCAACAGATTTGGTTTTATTAGATTCCAAGTTACTTGGCTGTCTGCGAAACACTCCGACCATATCGAGCATGATATAATCAAAGCAGATATCCGAGGGGCTTTCTACGCGACTTGCACTCCTGCTCTCTAAAAGCACTCATCACACAGCACAGCTGTAAATGAAGTTATCAGGTTTCGGCAGTACCAGAAAAGAGTTGGCGCAATGAGGAATGTCGAACTGCAGTGGTAAGAAAACAAACTGTTCAAACTCGCAACCTTGCGATACCTACAACATTTGCAGGGTGAGATATATATCGTAAGGTCAGGACGGACGCACGACATATTTGCAGTTAAAAAAAGAGGCCGAAAAGAGGCTTGAGCTTTGGCGGAGGACGATTGGAGTTTGAGTGTGCTCTGCCCTAGCCATAAAAAAAGATGATCTTACGAGCTGAGCATTACCGTGGGACCTTTTGAGTGTACTGTGTTAAACACTAAAGCCCTCCGTCCACAAACTTATTGGACCTTATTGGTGTGGCTTTAGACTTGGTAAGTTCCCCATTGATCAGACACTCTCCTTGCGCCAAATCATCGAATATAGAGTCCGAATGGATGACAAATTTCTACCTTTGAATGTTTTCAATGCAGAGACCGCAAAGACTTAATTTCACTCGGTATTTACAACTGGCGCCAAAATGCGATAAGAAGGAACCCGTGGCGCGGTGTTGTTGATTCGGCTATCGCATAAGCAGTATTCACGCAAGTAAGTATGTAAAGAAGAAGAAGAAGAATACAATTTATACTAAACCCGGAGAAAGTGAGCTCTATATCACACCAGATAGTGTCAAAATACACTTACATGTAGGCATGTATCTCTAAAAAAATATATTTTAAATCCTGTTGCAACCTTTATGTCCAAGGATTTGAAGCGATCTTTCGATAACACTGTTAGTTAAGTAGTACTATTGTGTAATGTAGAAATATAAAAGCCAGAGGCAGCTCAGTTTTTGTGAACCAGACAAATAAATTAAAAATAAATCGACAAAACAATTAGGGGCTCCCAATATGTCGGAGAGCAAAGTAAATCCATAAAGCTGAACGTTTACACTAAGCTTTCCGGAGCTTTTCAGCTCTGATCGCTGTGTGTGTAGGTTTGCTTTAACTTTTGTTCGCTTGCGTGGCGTACGCATTGTGTCCGTTTACCATTTTTATTTAAGATTTATAACTCTATGAGACTGTGTACGCCTTAATGCACCACTAAAAGCAAAAAAAAAAAAAAATTGTTTGCATAAAAATATATAAATGCTTTAAAATATCACCTTTGAATAACTATGCGTGATTAGTTTATGGCTTCACGAAATTCATCGAATTGTTTAACCAACGATTCTTTCATTTTTTTCACTTTGAACGAGCTTAAAAACCACACAACTTTTTCCCAATCATACATAAATACGTGTTATTGTGTTATGTATTTATGTGAGTAGATATTTATACTCCAGTGCGTGCTGTAAGCTTTTCACTGCCACACAAATTAATTGTAATTAACCACGAAATTACAATTAAACTCACAAAGCAACCAAAGTGTTTATGTATTGCGTGTTGCCTATTTGCACAAGAACAACAGAGTTTTTTAAAAATTCCTTTTTTACATGTTTATATGTTGGTTTGAATTTCCTGAAAAGCTGCTGGAGTTGCAAACACTTTGACTGAAAATTTACATTGCGGTTTTCCGTAATTGTTTTGCAAAAAATTTATGTAAGTATATAAGCCGGCCGGATTCCAACTTAATTTGCATGAATACACTTTTATTTCCGTTATTGCTTTTTTATAACGCAATATCCTTACAACACTTAAAGCAATGACAATTGTTGCGTCTCACTGCATTGGTATGCCTCACAGCGGGTGGTGCATGTGTGTTTCCGAAAACTGCTTGCACGCGCGCCGAATCATCGACTGGAGATTGACCCATAGTTGTGGATGCTTTTATAGTCGCCTCTCGTCGTGCTGTGACGGAGTGTGCTGATTTTCCAGCGGTTTGCGCTCGCTCGTGCTGAGTAAGCACTCTCTTTTGTCATTGCGTATGCGCGGATAAAATGCATTTATTTTACATAGCCGGCTTTCTGATGCTTCTTCTTTGCACCATAACCTCACTTGTCGCTGTTATTTGTATGTCAGTTGTCCTGTCGCTTGCCGCGCTCGACCGCCTTTATTTTCCCACCACTCTGTTGATTTTGTTTACACTTTCCATAAGATTTCATTAGCATGTTGGAGCACGTGCTTCACCATATGCTCGGGTAGCAGCGGCCTGCAGGCGTTGCGGCCCTAAGCAAACTAGGTGGAGCAGCCACTTGGCACACCGTTTGCCCCTATCCGCTTTCGTTGTCAAGTGGTTCATAGACAAAGATGTCCAAACATACATATGTGTGCATGTAAGCCTTTTAAGGAATATGCAGGGACAGTTGCATGTGGTGTGCATTTTCCAGTGACAGCGTCCCAAAGCAAAAACTTCGCTAAATGCTATTTTTATCATTTGTTTCTGCTTCATGCGCTCGCAAATTAAATTGCCGCCGGAAGGAGAATGAATTATGAAAAACAAAGCGAGTGTGAAGTGTTGATTTGAGTGGCTTACCGCCACTTCTACACGAAGCTCTCTCTGCGAAATAAGACGCACTTGCAATTGAAAAAGCCATGCGAGTTTTGGTTCTTTTCGCTTTCGTTTTTCTTCACACATACCATGAAAGCGATAAGTTATGCAAGTGTAGCTCCATCACCTCAACGCGCAATACACACAAATCGGAGATAGTGGTAGGATTCTGTTTAGATATTGGTCAGGTTACCTACCATTTCCTTCTTTTCCAATTTTATCAGAACAATAGACTTTTTTAAAAATGCGAACTAAAGCTGTCTCAGCGGTCTTACGTTTGACTCCTAAGCAGAGCGAATTTTCCTTATGTTTATTGCAATCCGTACGGAAGGCATTTTGCCGTTCTCCATTTCCAGTGAAAGGCGGGATGAATCGTTTTGCAGGTTGACATGAATATTGGCGGTTAATTGCAGGGTGTTCTCAAGTCGCATACCTGGAAAAGTTAACGGTCGGTTTACTTCAAATTTTGTTAGATTCTATATATTTATAAATATATATAATTGGCGCTATGTAACCACTGAAGCGATTTTCGGCCGAGCTCCACCTCCAATATGTGGTGTGTGTCTCGAGGCCTTTATTTTACATCAGAAATGCACTCAGAGGGCTTGGTTTTATTCATTAAAAATTTCGTTAAAATTGTATTGGATGAGTGCATAAGTTCGTGCCCGAATTCACCCGACATTGCACCTTCTGATTATCATTTGATCCGATCGCTGCAGAACAATATGAATGGAAAAAAATTTAAAAATGTGGAAGACGTCAAAAACCACATTGACACCTTTTTCAACGAGAAACTGCGCGATTTCTATGAATCAGGCATCCGTAAATTGGTTGAACGTTGGGAGTGGGTTGCCGAACATGATGGCGAATACATAATTGATTAATAAAAGCGCTTTCTTCAAAAAATTTCAATTTTAGTTTGCACTTGAAATCGGGCACGAACTTATGCACTCATCCAATATTTTTAAATCTGATAGACTAGTTCGCCATCAAACAGACAGGCAGATATAGCAAAATCCTCTCAACTCCTCATTTTGGTGGCTCAGTCCAATAACATTCCAGTTCAGTACTTTCATACATCTTACTAATTATAATACAGGGTTTGCTAAGATATTTTCAATGTTAAAGAAAATTTAAATTTATTAATTTATTAAAATCGGGTGAATATAGTCCTACGATTTCGACGATTTCCAGGGACAATGCTTAATTGTTGATACGTATGTAATGACGCCTATTTCTCCTCCTGGTATGTATGTAAACATACTACGGACCAAAGTTAACGCCTCGTTTCAGGAAAGATATAAATATAATAAAAATTAAATTAAACAATATATGTAGAAGCAAAGTGTGTTTCTCATTTAGAAGATGGTTCAATTAAATATTTCATATTTTTAATAACACGTACCATTAGCCTTTAAGGCATGTCTTTACATGTTTCCGTGGGAATATGTGTGTACATAAATAAGAAGCAAATACACATTCATTATGTCCATATATCCTTCATGTACGTTTACTTCAATATGTACAAATACATACAAACGTAGTAGCACATATGTACAATATATTATTTATTTATATTTTTGTATAATACCTTTTATTCGCACAATATTTAATAAATATCTTCCTGCCCTTTAGCCAACACCTGTTGTATTCCTGTGTTCGCTGCTATTATTGTACGCCACTCACTCGAATTGTGTTCTCTCAAGTATTTTCTCTGCTATGTTAAACGATATACCTCCGCTTTCACTCGGCTATCGGTGCACAATGGAAACAAAGGCAAAAATAGCTATAACAACAACATACAGTATTTCTATATGAGTATGCTTTCGCACACTGTTAACCACTTGCTAGGAGAGCAAAAAGAAAAAAAAAGAAAAAAAAAACAACACAAACAACTCAAACCGCAACAATAGCAATAAGAAGAGGAAAAGAGGAAGCAGGCGAGTGAGTGAGTGAGTGCCCGCAGCAATCTTGTCTAAGTTAGCTGTCAACTGCGCTGTGATTTATCGCGTTCGAGTTAAGCGCAGAAAGGTTAATTTTTAATCCTTTTTAGTGGCTTAAGGCATCTTGAGTGCAGATTAGAGTGCAATACCGACAACAAGAACAGCAGCAGTAACAACAATGGCAGGCAGTCAATTTAATGGCTTCGGCAAGATAAGGTGACCACAGTTGCAAAAATAAGTCGGGTTGAGTACCACCAACTGGAAATTGAATCGATCCACTTAAGCAGAGGGTGGCAAACAAGTTGCATGGATGCAATAAAAATTACAAATATTGTTATATGCATACGTAACATACATACACGAATTATATTATATGTAACGTACATATACGTGTATATATCTTCTTTTATGGAGATAACAGTGTATTATTATGACACTTTCCAAAACTGACCAAGGGCTTATAGGCATACGTGAATAGCAACAAAATAGGGAAATAATAAATGAATACATTTTTTCATGCATAACAAAAGCACACATTCAACACAAAACACTGAAAAGACCAAATGGACTACACTGCGTATGAGCGACCTACAACAGATGCGGGTTGTACAAATTTAACAGATATAGATAGGTATGTATCCGAGTGAAATAAAAAGTTGAGACTTAAGTTAAAACTCCATTGGCAAAATTTAACGCTTTAGCGTTCACTTAAATAATTACTTTAACAAAAGTTCTGAGGTACCTTAGAGGTATGCAAATTTTTAGAAATTTAATCTGTGGAAATTTTCAGGAGATAACCTCTTAGACTGCGTGATTATACGAAAGAGAAGAGTTTCTCTTCTATCGTTTCCTATTTTTTCGCAATCTTTAAAGATGTCTTTCGTCCACCAGGAGGTTTCTGGTGTTCTTTCTTTCAAATTCCTTTTCTTTTTCCTTTTTAAAACAGCAAAACAAGCGGAAGAAAGAAAATTCAGTTTTAATGCTTAGGCGACGTGAAGATTTTCTAGAACACTTAATGCTATAAATTTAAACTATTACTGGATGTTATTATTTGAAATTTTTTTTACTAAAGTAGCCCATTGCAGTTATTTATAATTTGCGGGTTTTACCGAGCTTCTCCTCCGCTGAAAACGGTATGTCTTGAATTATTTTTTCCCAATTGGAGCTTCACTTTATTTTAAGCTGACATTGAGCGGCAGATGTAACAAATTTTATGAGGATCATTTTATTTTTCATGTTACAAAAACAATAGGAAAGGATAAAAAATTCTTCCCGCAATTAGACAAAACAAATTTTAGTATTTTTGGAGACTGGTTTGAGCCGCGTTCCAGGTCATGACTCTTACCTTGGCTGACCAAAAGGCTATTATAGCTACCGAATTGACCTTAAAAAATCAAAAAACGTACTTTTATCAAATAAAATTAATAAAAATAGGACATTCACAAGATTTTAACACGAGCATACACAGTTTAATATGTTGACTTTTCAAATACAAATATGTTCTGTTAAGGCCTTGTGACTTGTTTCAGGTTTTTCTTTTTATACACTTTAATCACTCAGCTCATATTCCACACTCCTTCGGCTTCTGCGTTTGCATTTTGAAATTATTGATTTTCATTTCACGCATTCACGGTTGAGAGCGTTTGTAGCGCTTGGGAATGTGAAATATTCCCTGGGAGCCATTCAGAACATTTATGAGGCGAAAGCTTGTGTGAGCGACAAATGACTTACCTCAATGACAATTCCTCTGCATCTTTTATTGTACTTTTGCTGCTGCTGTTGTTGTTGTTGTTGTTTTTGTTGTTGTTGTATTTGTGTTGAGCACATCCATTATCTAAAGGGTCTATGAGCATCTCCCACAATGTTTCAAGCCATATATATACACACACACGAACACACACACAAGCACACATATTTCACTTTGTTTGCATTCTTTTCACACTCCATTACAATTCATCTCATCATTCTCATACCTGCTTTCGCCACACTCTCACACAAATGAAATCGAATGCATTTTTAATGCAGTTTCCATCTACGTCTCCAATTGTGGCGCATCAACTAATGTTCGTACTCAATGCTTCCCAACTCGAGACTTGGCATCCGCACTTGTACATTATCTTTGCCGCTCCAATTTTCTAAAGGAGTTCACTGTACAAGTATTGGTTGGGTGAACATCTTTAAGAAGTTGCAATGCGACATCTCATTAGACACCAGGCCAGTCGTTGCACGATCTTTCCTACTACACCTTTAAACATTTTCTCATTAATGTTATGTGCTGCACATCGGCCCTCATTCTCCTGCACAATCCAAGGAAAAATTGCATGCTTGTGTATAGTATTTACGTATTGCGTCAGGGTGCATACATATACTTATGTATATAATTGGCGCTTTGTAACCGCTGAAGCGATTTGCGGCCGAGCTCCTCCTCCAAATGGAGTGACCTACAGTTCATACTAAGCCGCCTCCGAACGGCTGATGTTTTTTTTTTATCAGAAGTTTTATTTCATGTCAGAAATAAACTCCCTGCCGATGGGCGACAGCTTTCAGAAAATTAAGCTAAATTTTTTATTTAAATTAATTCTCTATAACTTTTTGGATGTTAGTATGACACCAGGATTCGAACGCGAGCCTCTCGAATGGCAGTATGCAAATGCTTACCACTCGGCTACTGCGGCCGCCCTAGTGTGCTTATATGTGTGTGAATGTGAGAGTTTTCAAATGTGCACTCATTAAAGAAATTGTTGAAAGTTCAACTCACATATAAGCACCTTTAAGTTCAACTTTGAAATTAATATTTGAAAGAAGAATTTTGAAATGTTTGGGAAAATATCCTTCAATACCTATAACTATTACGATTAGTTTCTAGTATGAGTACTCGTAGATTATAACCAACGGTATCATTTGTTTGGGATTTTCGTTAGAAACTTCTTTTTCGTGCTGTCGGAGGCAGCTTTAAAATCTGCTATGAGATGGCGCGTGTCGTCCAATCAGGTCGTTGACAGTGGGATTTCGTCTTGGCTGCACTCATCACAACAAATTTTGCAAAAAAGCTCAATCATAAATATTTTTTGTTTTTGCTTTTTTTAAGATCTCAGCTGGCAGACCATCGACTCCTTCCAATTTGTTGTTCTTAATGCGGCTGGCAATTAAATACTATTCGGAAATCTTCATAGTCATCGAATGAAGAATTGGATTCACCCTCTCCTGGTTTGCAAGTTTCAATTTTTAGTGTTGTGCAACAGGCTGCAGCAATGTTTCCTCCATGCATTTGGTAAACTCTGTGCACCAGTCGCTATATCCACAGATGTGAATTCTACAAGAATATGATATGATCTTAACACATTCTGTTGGTCGCCGCATTTTTTCGGCCTCTCGCGTTTTCCGTCTGCATATGGATCTTGCTTTCCGTTGCTCGGTAAACAGTAATTCTTTCTCTGCACTGCCGTTCTACATTTCTCATCGTACCATCTCTTCTTTTGACCTTGATTAG